CTTAAAATACTTCACTGTGCGCATAAAAAATTCCAAATAGTAAAATAGCTAAAGATTTTGTAACCCACGTTGGTCGGGTCTTACACTTTTTACGATCTTTCTCGAGACGTCCCTCATATCTGGCGCACATCGAAAAGGTTACGCGTCGCAGAAGAAAGGTGAAAAGAGCAGAAGAGCCACGTCATATCTTGACATCCTTATATAGAGGATGTTATATCAGGTATCTCCGCGATTTTCGTGGCGCATGACTTTACCTTTACACGCTCGGATGTATAGTTGAACGTTGACTATATTCACTGTGAAGTATAGTAATTTCACACGGTAGATAGAGCAAAGCGGGTCTCTGATGTAAGGACGTGGACCCAGTGTGCTAGAACGAGAGGAGATGGTGAAAAAAGAAAGAAGAAGAGAGACGAAAATCGTACTCGCACGTGTCGTTGCCTCGGCAACCTAGTCTCTGGATTTCAGTCTGGTCCGTTCTATTTTCGATAGCTGCGGAAAACGCATTTCCACCACGAGGTCGAGATATTTATCGTAACGCGGGTCACGCGTCTTCGATTTCCTTTGCCAAACTACAGTATCCCAAGAAATAGGGACAGAATTTAACTTTCCCATATCCATTGTTAAAATGTTACTTCGGCTTCTCTTTTCTTCGATACAATTGCTTTTATATCTGGGTGCTCATTTTTATCGAGTTCTTTTTAGAGGATGAACATATTCACTCTTACGAGTAGTATATTTTTCTGTATTTTTTAAATCAAGTATTGAGGATTGCTAATGTTCACATTTAGGCGCATGCTCTATGTGTAGGAGTAACTAATGTAATATCGTTTTTATATTTTTCAATCAAGTATTGCGAATTCACCTTTATGAATAAGTATGCAATATGTACGTTATCACGAGTATGTAATATGGTATTTTTTTGTATCTCTAATTTAGTATTAGGGTTGCTATGTCGTTAGATCTCTATACTCCCATATTACATCCTCTGATTCCTAGATACATTCCTCAAATTTCTAAATTGTCGAGTCTTAAAATTTTCAGACTCTCAATTCCTAAAGTTAAAGTTTTAAATTCCGCAATTTTCATATTTCTATTTAACAGTGTTCTATTTAATGTCACTTTATGATTCACGAAAATATAAGAAAATTTTAAACCAAGACCGATAATTTGGAACCACGTCTCTCCTATCAAAAAAATATCTATTCCTACGTAACATTTTATTGAAAAGCAAACGTATTTCCTCGGAGAGATATTAAAAGATGCAAGCGATCGAAAATTGTATAAAGAATTCGCGGATGATTAAATTTTATCTTATCGAGCGCAGCGGCGTGAACCATAATGGCGACGGAAATTAGATTTTCGTCGGGCTACGATAATGGATAATTAATTACCCTAATAGTGATCAGGATCGTGTCTGGTGTTAAGAGGCCGCAGATTATTTCGGTAATATTCTCTCGTCGTCAAGTGGACGTGTTCATCGCTCTTTGGCGCCACTTGAAACGGATAAGAACCTCCTTACTGAACGCTCGAAGCGGTTCCTTTTTTTCTTTTTACTTCGCGCATCCGCACATAATTAAGCTCGCACATTGCACTCGTGTTCTTAGTTCGAAGAAGAAAAAGATACATGCTACCTACGTCCAACGGATGACAGAATACGAAGGTCTCTTTACGCTTGCACACTTGCACCTGTACCTATTTTCACTTGATCGAGGTAGATACACGACTGCTTTGTTAGATATTACAATTTTTATGCGTTTCTAAACTTTCAATTTCTTTCGCGAATGTTGGTCTTTGTAAGGTGAATTTGTTATAAATATCAAATTTTTAATTTTCATTTTGTACAAATTTCAAATTCTCTGACTTTTAAATTTACAAATCTTCGAGTGTTCAGGTTCATCCTCAAATACAGAATTTGCAAACATATTTCGAAATAGCCAAAATTCTATGTTCATAAGTTGCCTTTCTGCATCTTCAAATTTTTTCAAACTTAAAATACTCAAATTTCTAACTTTACAAATTCAAAAATTTGCTAATCCTCCAATTTTCGTATAATCCCCAGATCCCGAATTTTCAGATACCCTCGAGCTTCAAAGTGCCTAAATTTCCATATTCCCAAGTCGCCCAATTTCCTTATCTGCGACTTTTCTCAAATTCCTCGAATTCCGATTGCCAGCCGAACGTCCAAATCTCAATTGTCGCTTCCTATTACCTTTGCGTTTCATTCCCACGTTTGCGCGTCGAATTGGACATAGAACAGACGAACACCTCCGCAGGTAATTAAATTACAGATTGGTCGGATGCATCGTCTACGCGTGCAGCGAAAGTGTTAACGATCAAAGACGTCAGCGGTGAAACCGAAAAATAATTTTGTTCGGCGTCGAAGCCACAGGCGGTTAAAATTTCGTTCGTTCCGATTCCGGTCCAGCGACCAGGTTGCGTGGTACAGTTCCCACGTACCTTTTGCACCCCCTTCGTCCTCCAGGACGTGGCCACCATCATCAGATACCGTGCAAGCACACCAGCATCGTCGTCCATCGGCCTCGCACGAACGAACCTCCGCAACGGTGGGAGAGGTTGTGGCGTAGACGCAGGATCCGAAGAGCAGACAGTGGGACAAAGAACACGATGTCGTGGGTCCGGCTGGGACGAGAGAGAGACAGACAGAGAGACTAAGAGAGAGAGGCGAGGAGAGACTCTCTCCCACACGGTGGCGCTAAAATAAAATGACTGGCGAAAGGAATGCCGAAGCTCTCTCCTCCCAGTACCGCGGAATGGCCTGCAGTGCCTTTTGGACGAGAAGCTTGGGTGCGAGCGAGATGGAGGAGCGTTGAAATTGTGTATACAGTCAAGTGCAAATCAGAAGTTGAAAACAATTTGAAAACAAGGAGTTTAGAAATTTATCATAGGACTCAAAAATTAAAAGTGAACATTAGAGATTCGAGGACTTGGATATTTAAAAAGAGAGTTTAAGTTTTTAAGATTATACGTGTTCTCAGCCAAAAGAAGTCAACGTTGCAACCGAGTGTACGTAGGCAAAAGAAGAGGCTTCGAGAAGAGAGAGAAGACGAAGGAAGAGGAGGGAGACACCGGGTTGACCATCTACCCGGTTGGACCAAGATGGCAAACAGCGCGACGAGATGCTTCTACCTTGCGTTCCTCTTCTTTTCTTTCTTTCTTTTCGGACGTGTTCCGTTCGTTTCCTCCGCTTTCCCTCTCGTCCTTTCCCCGCCACTTCTGTTTCTTCTTTTGCGTTCCTCCGCGCGTTCTATTATTCTCCCTTTACCGTCGATTTCCTCCTTCGCGCGGTATTCCGACGCTTGCACAGTTGATTCAGGCGAAACCAGACGAGGAGAATGTTACTGGGTCCCTTGTATGTGCCGGCAATTTGTTCTTAGTCATCGTATATACGTGGGCTGCGAGATGGTCCTTCTTGGTTTACGTTATACGGACCGAGTCCATTATTCTTCGATGGCTGCTTTAATAGGTTGATATTTCTTTTCAACTGGAGATTTAACCATGCGCGGTCCCGGATTAACCGGCAAATAATGGATTTAATTGAAGAAAACGCGATTGTTCTTTGAACAATGATCTCTGTTTAAACATTTGCGGGTTATGAAATCTCATAGACGTAAGAAGAAAATGAGATCTTGCTAAGGAAGATTTTTTAGTCTATATTATCTTTGTAAATGATTCTTGTCTTTCAATATTCGACTTTCAACAAGTATAGAAGGAGGTTTAAAATTCTTTAAACTGAATATCATCCTAAGTACACGAATAAAAAAATATAATTTACAAAGATTACAATGTTTGAAACTGTATTTTAATTGGTCACGAATTCCTTCGTTTTTGGTGTACCGGAATGTTCAGCAACCAATAAGAGCAAAATCTTTCCTAACCAATGGCCGTTTTACCTGTTTCTTTCCCGCCACGTTAGTCCCCCTGAGGCCCTAAGTTCCGCAGTCGAAACTACCAAAGATTAACTTAATAAACTGAACGCGTATTTAATTTCTACACGGTGCAATATTTCACAGATGTTCTCTAAAGTCTAAAGTTTAATATTCAAACCGTTGGATTAAAAAGAGTACCTAGTTCTGAACAATACTCGCATTGAAAGTAGCCAAGTTAAAGTTTTATAAATTATTGCAACTGTCATCCATTATCGCAGTTGATTTCATTTGCAGACTAAAACGATAAAACAGACGGAGAAATTGAAATGGCAGCAGCTGTTGCAAGATCGAAAATGGAACATCAGACATTTTTACGAGAATGAAATTATTGTAAAGTGTTTGCATCTGATCACGTATACCATAAGATATTTTATCTCAATAAACTCTGGTTAACTTCGATAAATGTTCTCGTTAGCGTTACTGTCCCGCCTTTACGATCCACGCGCTGTTGCGTTAACTATAAAATCTTCTCACCCTTGTAATTCCCAGCTACTTCGAGGAACTTGTTACTGTTATTGCGATACTTTTACGATCAATGTACCACGGCGATAGCTACAAAATTTTCTTTCACAAGACGATGCCACGATACACTTCCAAACTTCGTATAATATTTCACCGCTAATAACAGAACAATTTATTTTCACGGAATTTTCATTAAATCTACGGGTCTCGTTCGTGATATAGATTATGCTTATAATCCTGCAACGTGCATAAAATTTAGCTAAAATACTGCTAGGTGAAATATTTGGACGCAAATTACGATACAAGGGATTTAGAAAATTATTTTGTGTTAAATTAAACAGTCATTTTTATAATAGTTTGTTTCAACGGCAAACAGGTCGAAGTTTTCACAGTTCTGTCTCTTAAGCAATTTTTTAATAGGAACTTCCAAAATAATTAGTCAGCTTAATTCCAGTGGTGTATATGATCATGTATCCAACTCATTGTATATTAGAAATAAATGAAATATAGCATACTCAAAAGTGTCGATCACGATTAATGTTCCCTCGTTGCGACACAAGCTCTTTAATCTTCCTGTTTTGTTTTCAGAAACAGTAACGATGCTCGCGATGCAATCGGAGAACAAAACCTTAACCCTCTTCGATCAAGTGTACCGTACAATGGCGGTGTTGAGCAGACCGTCGATAAAAGCGTTGTACCAAGCGATGGTCGACTACGTGTCAGCCAGCAACACGCCGGACACCTTGCAGCAGCCTCTCACACGCGAGATGCTTCAAGAACGTTTCATCGAGTTCTTCACGAAACTATTTCCGATCGCGTACCACAAAGCCGTGAACCCGGACCAGTACGAGCAAGATTTCACGGAGAAGTTCAAGACCTGCTTGTACGAGACGATGGACGAGATCCAGCCGTTTGGCGATATACCGAAACAGGTGTCGAAATCGGTCAGCAAGAGTCTCGAAGCCACCAGGGTATTGGTGCAAGCGTTGACTCTCGGCAAAACGGTTCTGGACAGAACCGACAGCGTGCTGTTTTCCGGTACCAGCCCTCAGCAGGAAGCCTGCTACAGCGCGTTGCTAAGGATGACCTATTGTCCAAGGTGCAAGGGCATCGGTCCCTCGGTTAGGCCCTGCAGCGGATTCTGCACTAATGTCATGAGGTGAGCACGATGTAGCCGACTCTCGTAATTACTGTAGCCGTACCGGCGAACCTATTCACCGCGGCCTTTTGTCAATTTTCAATCGCATTAGTCATCCTGACGTCCCTACCTTCTCTGGGGGATCCTTTCGACCGTGTGCTCGCTGAAAAATTCAAGATACCCGGTCCACGGGGTTTCATCGTGTTGTCAGACTTTCGAACAATAGAACAGTTGGTATTATAGTTTTTTCTCATTTTTTTTTGCCGGTTTTCCTCTTTTCGAAATATCTTGTATTCGTGTGAGTCTGCGGTCGGTTGAGTGGATAGAGTCATTTGCTGATACGCTCTAATACATTAACTTTGTAGTATTTTCTTAGTCATATTTCATTGTGAAAATGAGCTTGTTACGTTATGAACAGTACACTATGGCAGCAACTGGTGATAGTAACCTAGACAGTTGTCGATCTTTTGCGTTTCTTTGCCGGTTTGTTATAAAATGATTCCTTTTTTGTCTCTTTCAAGAATTCGACTACCTACTAGCAAGGGTAGTAACACCTGCTACTGACATAGTGTAGTAAGGTGTAGATTGTAGATCGTGAGTATCATTTGTGACGACTTTGGGAACTCTCCCATGATTTTGAAAATATCCTTTTCACTGATAGTGATAGAGAGAATGAGGCACACTCTAAAATATACGAAAAATTAAAATGTAAGCTTAAGGGTATTTTAAATGAAAGTTGTTTAAGGCATCATCATAATGTTATACGAGATCACTTTGTATTGCTGTTGTCCATTTGTAAAGTTGCCATAAAGGTCCATTAGTAAGGGTGATACGGAAGAAGCTCGATAAGAATTTACTTTCTTAAACCGTGAATGTTTAATTTTTTTTAAATTTTTGTGGTGTTGCTATATTTTATACAAAGATTTTTCATGAAGTAGTCTCTTTTGTACAAGCGTTTAGCACGAATGCAGTACAACTTTATAATCATAATCCGTGTAAATTCATCAGATGTAAATTGCAAATAACCGCAAGCGGTTTGATCGATTGATTTCCGGATTCCTGGGGTCACTGTGATTCTTTTGTGGTTAATTTATCCGGTACGTGTACACGCTCGATGAAACCACTGAAACCGTTCACTTGAAATCTAAATATAGAGAGAGCACGTGGGAGTGAACCAAAATGCGTTTTGAAAGCACTTCGTGTCGGGGACGATTTCATGATTCTACAAATTCTACGAATAGTATTTTTATAATTTTGATTTGTGGGATGAAATGCACAGGAATACCGGGAAAATGATCTAATTGCAATTAATTGCAACTGCAGATATAGTGTTCCAAATGGTTACGGAATATTCGATATTCGGGATCGATTCTGGGAACTTTGCTGACTCGTTTAATTTAATATAACTCAAATTCTCATGCTGCTGAATATGCAGATTTTAAATGGACAAGTTAAAGAATTCCAAACAGATTCCAAACTTTTCAGATTTCCAGATTAATAAATTATGAAGTTAAATTCTTAAATTACTAAGTTCATCAATCTTCCAAATGTCAAATTTATTAAATTTTCAATTTCGAAATTGCCAAGCTCCCGAATTTTAAATATCAAATGTTAACTTCTTTAAATTCATAGCAGCATTAATCATGGTGCTACTATATACGCCCAAAGCAGGGTCAATAACTTAAAAACTTAAAAAGTACGTGCTGGACACGTCAAAACAAGCCTAAACACGTTCGGAGTGAGTCACAAAGTGAGTCAGCAGAATATACTTTTGAAATGACTGGATACCTTGAAAAAGAGAAAATAAAAAGCATAAGCATTCTTCAGAAATGATATCGCTAAAATTCTTATACGAGAAACCTCATCGAAATTCTATGCAATAAATAACAACAAATATGGACCATGTGTACTTGATGTGGAATAATAGTATTTCGAAAAATTTGACTAATTAATGTGAAAATTCAACGCTTTAAGATTTAGGAATTGTGGACTTGGAAATTCGGAACTTTGCAACTTTAGAAAATTTCAAAATTAAAAATTAGAAATTTGGTATTGGGAGATTTGGAAATTTGGGAATTGGCGATTTGAGGATTTAGGAATTTGAGGATTTAGGGATTTGAGAATTTAGGGATTTGAGGATTTAGGGATTTGAGGATTCAGGAATTTGAGGATTCAGGGATCTGAGGATTTAGGGATCTGAGAATTCAGGGATCTGAGAATTCAGGGATTTGAGGATTTAGGGATTTGGGGATTTAGGGATCTGAGGATTTAGGGATTTGGGGATTTAGGGATCTGAGAATTTAGGGATCTGAGGATTTAGGGATCTGAGGATTTAGGGATTTGAGGATTCAGGGATTTGAGGATTCAGGAATTTAAGGATTCAGGGATCTGAGGATTTAGGGATCTGAGAATTCAGGGATTTGAGGATTTAGGGATTTGGTGATTTAGGGATTTGAGGATTTAGGGATTTGAGGATTTAGGGATTTGAGGATTTAGGGTTTTTGGGATTTTTCGGATCTAATGTATTGGGGATCTAAGGAATTTGGGGATTTCAGGATTTGGGAATTTAGGGATTTGGACATTTGGGAAATTAAGAATTTGGAACTGTGGTAATTTAAGGATTTGGGGAATTTGCAATTTGTGGGTTTAAGGATTTGGGGATATAAGGATTTGGAGAGGTGGGAGTTAGGAATTTGGACATTTGAGAAATTAAAGATCTGAAACTTGATGAAATTGGAAATTTGAAACCGTATTAACTTGGGAGTTTGAGAATTTGGGAAAAAGGGGAAGATTTGAAAATTTGTAGACTTAGGAATTTACAAGGTACTTAAAGCTTTGAAAATTTCATGGAATTTGAGAATTGAATTTTAGGAAAAATGAAGATTTGTTAAAGTCGATAATTGCGATTTATGTACATGTTTCGTGAAATTTATAAATTTAATTATTTGAAGATTTTTAAATTGTGAAACCTTGAAGTCTTGAACTCCTGAAATTTTAAAACTTTAAAATCTTGAAATTTCGACATCTTAAATTGATAAAAACCTTGAAACCAGCCATAAATTATACAAATTTGTCCAACCAGCACTTTGTGACGAAAATAACGTTGTTACAGGGGTTGCTTGACGGAACCAGCATCGGAACTAGACCTCGCATGGTCCGGTTACGTGGAAACGGTCGAGAGGCTGGTGGTGGCGGTCGATGGTCGTAACGATCCGTTGGGCCTGAATGCCGAGAGGGCTGTCAGACAGTTGGACACCCGCATTTCGGACGCCATTATGCATGCGATGGAAAACGGGCCGGCGCTCGTCGAGAAGGTAAGTACCTACCAAAACAATTCTAACACATCTTCATCACCTCTTTAGACTGATTCTTCTTTTGTCCCTCGTGTGCCTTTTATACTTCGTTCTTACAATTTCGCGTTTCCGCAGAGTGTCTGCAAATACTCGGTTTGGTCAACGAGTTTGTTCTTTCTTTAATCAGATATTCAATTACAAATCTTATTACTGGAAATATTCATGTGTAAGTTGAGTAATTTTGTATTGAGAATCACGTTAATATGTAAGAAGAATTATTAGTCAAGATCTTTATTCATCATGCTTTTCATAGGATGTTCATAGGTATATTTTTAACACTAAACGTACCGGCTGTGCACTTAATTTGAGATGAAAGACGAAGTCAAATAATAAATTAACAAACGACAAACCATGAATTAGTATACATATTAATTAATCTTGATGTGGATCAATGCAGATATCAGGAGAATCACTTCAACAAATTGTGTAATTTATAATAAGGATCTTGTGGAACATTTGACCGGTTTGGTGGTTTTAGTGTTAACAGAGACATGTATCATTTAGTGTAACATCACTGTGTATACGTGTCTCTTTCCGAGTTTTCATGTATGAAAGTGCAATCATTGCTGGAGTTAGCCTTTGTTCCACTCTTAAGTGTTCCACTCTTTCACTTAATATAATAAACATTATACTCAGAAGTTTTAACATAAAGTATAAGCTTCAAGGCCGTGTATAATCTTCTTGAAGAAAGAGTATTCGCATATACATTTGCTGTATTTTATTAAAAACTACCAACTCAGAGAGGAGACATCTGGAATAAAAAGTAGTTCTCTGAATAATTGATTAATTTCGAGTAACATAAATATAACATAGTAACAAATATAATTTTGAAGTTTTTAAATGAAAGTTAAAGGGTAAACACATTCAGCAAGAATCAAAATGATTAACACATCGAGAAAATATTTTCTCGTAGCGAAAGGTTAAATTTTCTTCTCGACACCAATTTACCTAGTTTTTTTGACAAGCTACTATTTTAAAGATTACAATCGCCGGTTCTTGATACTTAATAATTAAGCGAATGTTCCGTGTACGATCATGTATAGTTGATAACCATTATAACAATCACAACGATCGATAGAGCATTCACCTTTTGCAAACCATTTCACGTACGAGTATGGTCAGACAAATACCTATTAACTTACGAATATCTCTTTGATTATTTTCCTTACAATTAAGATAACATAATTAAATAATAGTAACGTCTGCTTTTTATAAATTAAATTGAGTAGAAGAAAGTGTAAGGTGGCTTATCTTGCTGCTAGTTTTAGTTTTTTTTAGGTTATTAGAAAAGAATTATTTAACGATTATTTTGTGCAAAACATTTTTGGTCAGGAATTTTTGTGAACTTTTTACGTTAACTCATTTTATACAATTTGAGTACTTGAAGTAATAATAATTTTCTTTAGTAAAATGTAGTTGTATTGTATATTCCTCTATAATTTACTCCGACAGATATTACACTTTAATTTATATTAAGAAACCAATCCGTTATATTTTTCCCGTAAAAAATTACTATCGAGCTGACACGATTTTTAATAAAAAAGTTCATTAGCAATGCGAATATCGTTAGCATACATAAACCGCGGCGTAAGTTAATAGCAAATTAAAGCAGCTAATAATAAAGAAAAATTATTATTCTATACAAATTTGTGTACGCCACGCATAAATACCTGTAATTAGCTTAATTGTTCTGTAAATAAAAAATGATTCAATAATTATACAGATAACTTGTTGATCTTATGCTGTGTTCGATAAGGCGAACAGCGGAATTTATTAAACATTGAAGATAAACTTAAAAAACCTTGGAATAAATTTAACTAAGTTTCCTTTTGCAATTTTCCAGTCAGATTACACTCGACCAATATAATAAGGCTGCAGTACGGAACTAATTAGAAAAATTTTAGTTTATCTTGACAAAATAAACGACGGTGCTTATCCCGAAGTAGTTTCAAAGTTATGAAACTTCATCGTCAGATTCTTATTCGGTTTACAGTCAAAAGTTGTAAAATGTTGAACTGGTTCTTGTCAGCTTTCACGTTTTCTTTGGAAAATTCGATGACGTGGGTTGTTCACATTAAAGACTGGGAATTTTCAAACGAGAGAAGTGAATGTCGTACTTTATTCATACTGTTTGGTGACCGAGAATTGAAAATTTGGAGATTTGGAAATTGGAAAATTAGGAATTTTGGAATTTGGAGTTTTTGAATTTCTGAATTTTGGAATTGGAGATTTTTGGAATTGGGGATTTTTGGAATAGGGGATTTTTGGAATCAGGGAATTTGGGAATTGGGGAATTTTGGAATTGGGGATGTCTGGAATTAGAGAATTTTGGAATTGGGGAATTTTGGAATTGGGGATGTCTGGAATTGGGGATTTTTGGAATAGGGGATTTTTGGAATCAGGGAATTTGGGAAATGGGGAATTTTGGAATTGGAAAATTTTGGAATTGAAGAATTTTGGAATTGGGGAATTTTGGAACGGGGGATTTTTGGAATTGGTAGAATTTGGAATTGGGGAATTTTGGAACGGGGTATTTTTGGAATTGGTAGAATTTGGAATTGGGGAATTTTGGAATTGGGGAATTTGAGAATTGGGGAATTTTGAAATTGGGGAATCTTGAAATTGGGGAATCTTGGAATTGGGGAATCTTGAAATTGGGGAATCTTGGAATTGGGAAATCTTGGAATTGGGGAATCTTGAAATTGGGGAATCTTGAAATTGGGGAATCTTGGAATTGGGGAATTTTGAAATTGGGGAATCTTGAAATTGGGGAATCTTGAAATTGGGGAATCTTGAAATTGGGGAATCTTGAAATTGGGGAATCTTGAAATTGGGGAATCTTGAAATTGGGGAATCTTGAAATTGGGGAATCTTGAAATTGGGGAATCTTGAAATTGGGGAATCTTGAAATTGGGGAATCTTGAAATTGGGGAATCTTGAAATTGGGGAATCTTGGAATTGGGAAATCTTGGAATTGGGGAATCTTGGAATTGGGAAATCTTGGAATTGAAGCTTTTGGAATTTTGGAATTTTGGAGGAGGACACCAAAATTCTCACGTCCATTCGTGACACTTCTGAAACTCTGAACAAAAGTACTATAGTACCTCGACTTCAAATCAGCGATTAATCATCGTTCGAAATAAACGATATTTATCTTTACTCAACTAGGATGGTAATCATACAAACGTTATGCGACGACATTTTATTCCGATCATCAAACGGCGGGTATACGAAAATAAGACACGATGATGAATGAAAAAATTTGTCGGCGTTCTTTGGTAAAATAAACGGCGTCGCTTACGAGCGACCATTCCGCACGATTTCTCGAGCACCGGTGCAGAATTCCTCGGATCTTTTTTGTACATTTTGTCAGAGGACCCAACTCGCATCTCGAATCATCTACCTGCGGATTCGTACGCGTTATATTTTTGCTTTCATTGTTATTGATATTAGCGCCGGCAGCAAAGAACGCCTGGAATTCCGTGGAACCGGCATTATGCACTTTGGTGCATTGTACGCATTTCCATAAATTTGCTTTTTATTTAGGAGGGAAATGGACGGAACCAATTTGCGGGGACGATATGTTTGGCCTGTCGCGGATTAGGGGCTATTAATTTAAATGATCGCGAGAACTTCGTGGAAACTGCTGGCTTGGTTAATCTTGAATTCTGGAATGACCGCCAATGTAGGCGTGAACTTTCCGAACGATGCACCGAGAATGAATGTAGGGTAACTGTACCTAATATCGACACTTGATATCAACATCGTAACTAGTTTATGCTACTACACTCAGGTTTTGTACGACAGGTAGCTAGGAAACTTTCTAATTGGAAAATTCAATGAATTCTTTGTAACTTAGCTTTCTATTACTAGTTCTATTCTTCACTGCGTTTGTCGCACGCGATATAGATTCAGTTAAAAAGTTACTATTTCAAGTTGTTAAACCTAGCGGTGAGTTCCTTTGGAGCTCAAATACATTTACAATCTTTTACTTTATTCTGTACACTTGTCTACGTTGACACTAGCTTTAAACACTTGAACTTGCTTCTTTACTCTTCTCTTTCCAAATACCCAAAGTCTCCAAATCCTCGAATCACATAGTCACACTTCACGATTCCACGCAGAATCGACAATTTAAAGCCACTTTTCCTTTGAAACCCATTCAATCGAAGAGATACCACGACGTTGCACTTAAAAAGTTGAATTTTTGTGCTACGTTACAGTCGTAGCGTTAAAGGACGATCGATCGTTGCGTTCTGTGCGTCAACAGTTTTTTACCAGATGATCGACGCGGCAACATCAAAATGGGAAACGCGTACAACTCTAAAAGCAAGGGAACAACGAGAAGCGACGGCTAGGAACGAAATGAATAGATGCTATAAATTGCGACACGAGTCGTAAATTTCAGTTGGCGCGATCGTCCAGCTTCGCGTGGCATAGCGATTCGCATATTGCGAGGAGCGATAGGCGAATGACACCAAGGGCCGTCGTAATAATGCACTTTGAACGACTCGTATCACGTTGGTGGCAAGAAGACGCTGTTCAAAAGACGAAAGAAAGAATGCGTAATATATAATAAGCGTGTAGAGTGCGGAGTATCGGTTTCGAACATGCGATACTGTGGTTCTGTGAGAAGGTTTTGTTCGTCGTGCCAGATGCGCTCGATGCGCGGCTGAGAACGACAGATCTTGCCCAATCATGTTTGCCACGAAAATTTCACGATCTGGAGATTTTGGAATTGGGTGACTTCGGGGGTTTTGAAGGTTTTTAGATTTGGGGAGTTTCAGAATTTTGGATTTTGGGATTTCAAGCTTTAGAGATTTACGAGTTTGGGACTTGGGATTTGGGAGGTTGATATTTAAGGATTTAAGGATTTGGGGATTTTGGGGATTTTGGGGATTTTGGGGATTTAGGGTTTTGGGATTTGGAGGTTCAAGATTTAAGGATTTGAAGATTTGGAG